AGGAAAATACTTTCCATGACATCTGCTTTCATTTCCAAGGCTTTTTTTAAATCTAATTGACCCGCTTTTGTAACCCCATGCCCTTTTATTTTTTAATGTAGGCTATGTCTATTATTATCTCCTCCCTACATTGTCTTGAATGTCTCAAAATTGCATCTGTTAGTTTGAGTCTCCATCTTTCCCATTAGAGGTTTTTCTCTAATATCTGGAAATGTTTAGTGGTTGTTTGGCTATTTCAATGTTTGGGTTAGGTTTAGGCTTATTTCTTTGAATGACTGGTCAGAATTAAGAGGAAAGCAAAACTGATCAGAAACTCTTTGCCCTTGATTGGGGCATGTGGTCTGTGGTCTGTGGCTTCACCGTAAGGTGATCCTCCTAGACCCATTGGCATAGTTCTTCTTAGGCTGGTCAGATTCTTGAGAGAGAGAAGGATCTCCCACTCAAGTGCTTGGAGGATATAATCCTGGCTACCAGGATTCTAGCAATTGCAAGAGAAAAAAGGGGTGAGAATCTCATGTTCTCTAGGCAAACTTACACCTAATTCTTCTATTGTTAGTAAATAACACCCCTGCCCTCAATTGCACCACATTCCATAATCCAGAGCCCTCTTTTACCTACTCCAGAAAATAAACCTGCAGTCTTCTGCTGGGGGTGAGGAGGGAATCTGGGAGTCTGTGTCTTAGACTTTGAACTAAAATTCCTGTTTTAACCCCATCCAAAGCTACCAATTCCTAAGACTTCAGGAGTTTCTGCTGTGAGGTAAAGTTACTTTTCCTTGGTTTTTCCCATTTCCCGTGGAGGATTCAGTTTTATAAGTCTGCTAAGTCAGCTACTGTTCATTCATCTGCTTTCCAACTTCTAAAATTGTATTACTGCTTAGGGAATATTGTCTTTCCTTCCCTGTCTTGGTTTTTGTAGACTTAAATCTTTATTAAAAAAAAAAAAATCCTACACTGATTTTATCTGGGTTTGGGGAGAGTGAGTAATTAGTCGCACTTCTTCATTCTGTCATCTAGAACTGGGAGGTCTTTATGTTGAAAAACAACCAGTACTAGAACATCTGGATCCAGACTGTCTGGATTCAAATACTGGCTCTAGCATGTACTAGATGTTTAACCATTTTGTTGTTGTTGTTGTTGCTACAAACAATGTCACAGACTGGATAAGTCCTAAAGAAAACGGTTGGCTAATGGTTTTGGTTCAAGATCAAAGAGTTATTGGCATCAGATCCGCCATTTTCAGTCAGGAGCCATGTTTATCTAGAGATCCCGAGGCAATGCTGCTTAGTCTCCCTGAAAACCTGTGCCTGCTAAAGGGTCAACCCCACCCAGCCCATGACGTAACCCCTAAGCATGCTTGTGAAATTCCTCTTGCGGGCTGTAAAGCTGCTCTATGAGTGCTGACAGGCTGCTGCTCTCTTCAGAGGGACAGCCTTGTCAGTTTGCTTCATGCTCTAACAAGTGGGATTCCGGAGTGTGGTGTGGTCCTTGAACTTTGCGTGGACTTTGCAGGTGTCCTTTCAAGGGTTGTATCCAATAATGGCCTTCTTGCTGTCGGAGATCTGAGGCACAGACATCACCTGAGAGACAGGGAACACATCAGACACCTGGCCTAACTGGCTTTTATAGCAGAGCCATTGTTGAGATCATCCATTCATCTCTTAATCCATTAATTCATTCACGAGGGCAGCCCCTCCTAATCACCTCTTAAAGGTGCCGCTTCTTAATATCTCAGAATGAGATTGAATTTCAACATATAAGTTTCAGAGGAGGCAAAATTATATCCAAATCATAGCACTTAGATAAGTTACAGAAACTCTCTACATCCCACTTTCTGTAAAATGGGGATTATACTAGTACATATTTTACGTGACTGTGCTGAGCGCTGAGGCCAGTGCCTCACATGACAAACCATTCTCTTAGAGTCAGTCATTATTATTATTTAATATTTTCTCTGTGCCAACACATGTGGCAATGGCATCGAGTCTGGAGAAACAAAAAAGGAACATTTGAAATTGGTTTCCACTCTTTCCAGCCTCAAACTGGTATGACCAGTTTTCCTACTGAGATCTATACCATGTAAATACAGTATGTACCCTAAGTAAATTATCAAACAGGTGGAAGTTCTAGTTGTGCAAATATAGCTGGTAACAATGTAAATAGAGTATTCAAATGAACCGGAGGCCAGAAAGGCAGGCCAGTTGTTTTCAAATATGGTTGCATCTCTTAAGCATAATGGCCGTAGGCATCATTTCCCAAATGACTTGCCCACACATTTATTTCTGAGCATCAAAATCATGCTGTCTGTTACTTGTTTTGCAGGGCAAATGACACCATCTGGAGACTGGAAACAGCACATGTTTTAGGAAGTATCCCCCCCACCCCCACTCCCACCCCTTAAAATGAGTCTCCTCCCCTTTAAATGAGCTTCCTTGTGTTTCCCTTTCTTCTGGTCTGCTTGGCTTTCATCTTCCTGGCTCTCTTTGTCCTGCTGAGCAGGGAGCAAACCTGCAGGTTCTGCGATCCAGATCCCACTGTTCAGCTTTAAAACAAAACAAAACCAAAACCGAAAAATTTTTTAAAAAATTAAATTAAATTAAAAAAAAAAAACAAAAACCTCTTGCAATTGGTGAACTTTTCCTTCTGGCATAAGCCTTCAGCTTTTGTGAAAGAAGCTGCTGCAAGGAATTGGTCTCAAATTTGCAAATGAAAAAAAAAAAAATGAAGAAGGAAAGAAAGAGAGAGAGTGGGAGGAAGAGAAGCCCATGGAGGGAAGGAGAGAGGCCAGCCAGACCCAGACTGACAAGAAATAGGACTTGTCTAACAAGAATTCAAGTCCAACCAAAGCATTTCCAATGCAGATTCACTACCAGGTTGAAGATGGCTAGACAGTTATAAAAAGATAGCAACTGGGCTTATCTTGGAAGATGCAATTACTCAGGTCATTAACGTCTCCGTGCACTACCACTCCCTCTGCTTAAACTGTTCTTCCTTGATATCCTGTGTTTTCATTGCTGTCATCTCCGGCTGGCTTCAAACACAAGACTCCTGCTTCCAGGTGACAGCCTCATATCAGATCATTCTGGGACCCAGAGATGTGTCACATGTGTTGATGAGCCTGGGAGGTTCTCCTCAGAGGTTTAAAAAAAAAAAAAATTCCATCCATCATCATTTCCATTAGAACTATGTGTATCAGGCACAGTCCTACAGGAAAACAGAACCATTCTAAGCATTTAAAAGGAAGGGGATTTAGTGCAGAGAATTGGTTTTGAAGCCAGATTTAAAGTTAGGTAGACAGTGTAGTTAGGTAAATCGGGTCTAATATCAGTGAAATCTAAAATGGAGGCCATGCTGAATCGCAGGACAACTCATGGAAAGTTAATGAAGTCCCGGAAAGGCCCTAGGCCACAGTCCACCCCAAAGAAATGTTAATGGAATCCAGGGAACAGCCCCAGCAGATTTGAAGATAGCCCATCCCAAAGAAGTGTTAATGAAGTCCTTCCTGCCCAGATTACTTGTTTGGCCCACCTGTGTCCCACCCCTCGGGCCTTCCCACCTACATTCCATCACCAAAACTATAAAAAGGGGAGACAACCGCACTTCCACGGATTCCACCTCTTGGGTCCCCTTCTTCCTCGGGGAGAAGTCTTTTCTGCTGTCCTTTAATAAGCTTCTAATTTCTACTCTGACCTTGCCTCGGCGTGCTCTCTGGTGTTATTCTTCCACACTGGGGAAGCAAGGACTCACCGGCCAACAGTGGTAACAGTTTTATGAGTGATAGGCAAGCTGATAAGCCAAAAGGACAGTGAAGCAACTCAGAGGATAGCAGCAGCAGGAAGCCACCACCACCCCGAGGCTGGAAGAAAAGGGGAGAGGGTGTTACTGGAGATCAGGCTTCCGCCTCACTGGAGAAAGCCTGGACCATGACAAGCATTGCTGAAGGGAGCTGGAGTCACAGAGCAGATGCAGCTACTGCTGAAAATGTCATCCATGACAGTGAGGGAAAGACGACCCCCGATTCTCCTTTCCTCTACCCTTTCAACACCTGTCATTGCCTCTATGCTCCACCTCACTATAACCTAGTTGACAGAGAAGCCTGAGAACGGAGCACGCAGGGTCAGCACCAGCGTGACACGGCAAAGCAGGACAAGGACAAGGAATGGGTCTAAGAGTGCAGGCTTTAGTTAGTACATGCTCTATTATTTAAATTATATTCATTAGAATATTATCTAATTCTTAGAACACAGTGAATTCAGCACTACACAGATACACACACATACACACATGTGTGTTCTGAATGTATGCATTTTTGAAATTCCTTAATAAATGCAGGTAGCGTCACACAAAACCCAATAGGGAAGTCTTCCCTACTAGAGAAAGCTCTACATAACAAATGAATCAGAACGGATGTGGTGGCGCCTGACTGTAATTCCAGCTGTTCTCAGGAGCCTGAGGCAGGAGAATATTGAGTTCAAAGCCAGCCTGAGCAATTTAGGGAGGCTCTAAGCAACTTGGTGAGACCTTGTCTTTACATAAAATATCAGAAGAGGTCTGGGGATGTGGCTCAGTGGTTAAGTTCCCCCTTGCAAAAATTTAAAAAAAACAAAAAAACAACCTTTTCCTTTCTTCACTGTTCATATTGACAACACTTTCTTGGACTCAAAAATTTGTAGGGACAAGGGAATTCAGTAAAACCTAAACATCACCTTCACCGGCAGAAGCAGTGCCTGGTGTCCCCCTGCCTCCAGGCCCCAGAGCAGGGAGAGTTTATCCACTGAGGATCACAAATCTCTGAGTTCCTTCCCAACCCTTGCCTCCTCTGGGTTATTTCCCCACTGATGACTACAAGAGAGGCTGGCCTAACATCAGAGCCCAGAGAAGTAGGAGTGGCACAGTGATGTGACAACAGCGACAAAACAGGATGCTTTTCCTTATGTAAGTTGTTCTCTTTCTTACGTAAGTTGTGTCTAAATAAACATTTTGTCAGGCTATTTAGTTTAGTTTTGCTATGTTCAGTATACAAGCAATACAAATATGTGACTGGAGCTCTCTGCTGTGTCTGCCTGTGCTGTCTGACACAGAGGCTCCAGCTCTGCTCTAGCTTACATAATTCTGAGGAAGCAGTTCTGGTGAAGCTCTCAGTCCCCATAAAAGCCGGGCTACCGACCTCCCTGCAGGCATAAGGAAATGGTGAGCCCGGGAAAGGGAGGGAAGGGGGGGACTTTAGGACCGCACACAGAGTAGGTAGGCCCTTAATAATGTTTACTAATCAAGATTCAATGGCAGAGTCTGGGTCAGGAGCCAGCATGCTGGGCTCAGGTGCATGTTCCATGGACACAGGGTTTGGCTCTGCTCTCCAGGGGAGTTGTTAACTCTCTACCTGCAGTCCATCTGAGTTTAGGTCTGCCTAAACTTGTCACCAAAGAATGATAACAGCTGAATTCTCCACCTATCTGTCCATAGACACCTAAAACTTTATGTGTTAATGCATGAATTTGTTCCTATCTCCCCCCACCCCCACCTCCTCCTCCTGTCTCTCTCATGTAATGGTAGCCCCAGTCATTTGCCTAAATCAGGAACCAGAATATCATCTTTGATACTGAGCTTCCCACAACCAGCATCTAATTTATTCTACCTCCCAAACATTCAGTGAATCTGGTCATTTCTCTCTATCCCCATAGCTATCACCACAACTCAGGGCATCTGTTATTTAATATTTGGACTACATCATCGCCTCCTAGCTGGTTACATTTTCCACACTGTGATCATTTCACAAGGTTTACTGAGCACCTCCGGTGTGTTAGGCAATGGCAAGCAAAACAGAAGCCAGTAATCTTTCCTAAAGCACAAATATTGCCATGTCTATTCTCGGCTTAAAGTATATCAATGGCAACCCATTGCCTTCAGCATAAAATCCAAACTCTCTACTGTGTTTTCCCCTCTAGTTTATTTCACTCCACTCTCTCCTTTGCTTACCTTCCAAGCCATATGGAATCTATGTCAGTGGTTCAAATGGACCAACATTTTGCAGATCCTAGAGCACTCTACCACACCACTTCTTTGCCTATCAACTTGCCATTTAGGTCTCGTTTAGGGCTCTCTTGGCCAGGCTTGCCAACCCAGATGAGTTAAGGAATGTGGGGGATGGAGGAATTTGGAGGATACCCAGGATCCCTGAGACCTGAAAGCTGCATGCCACGATCACTACTACCCATTCCTTTTACCAGATTCTTGGAAAGGAATATGTGCCCAGAGAACAAGGGCTGAAAAACACATACTGTTTCTTTCTCTGCACTCTGGCCTCTCGTTGTGCTGAACTGAGGAATGTGGAGGACTTCTTTGATCTGGGATGGAGGAAAACCTAAGTGATCTCAAAAGAGGACGTTTACCATTTTGGGATCCTAACTCTATATACCAGCATCCAGCACATTGGAATAAGGTGTCCAGTGGCAATGATGCTGGAAGAAATGACCTAACTGGACTATACCTGTCATAGGACCTTATCTGGCTTTTCCCAGACCAGCTTTCCAGCCCTCCTTTCAGTTCTGTGAGTTACTTAAGATTCTTCAGGTGAATCTCTTTCTCTTTAAGATCACTGGATATGGTCTCTCTTGTTGAATCCAGAAATCCTTAATAGTACAATATCCTTTCTCCTCCCTTAATCCCTGCCACGAGATCCATTCCTGATCCCCCCTCCAGCAGTGCAAAACGGCAAGCCCATGGTAGAATTCACTAAGTGGGATAAAATCTACATTCCAGACCAGATCTTGACTTATCCATCCACCTCTGGCTTTTCTTGAAAGGGTGGCAACTCAATGACCAAGACCATTGATCTTGGGAAAGAGGGAATATCAAATCTTTCAAGAGAAGATTTACCCTTTGCCCTCATTGGTATCCTGGCCCTTGACCCATCCATATTGGCCTGTCAATTGCTTGGATGCGGAGCCAAGGAGAGAGGCACTGGACTTCTCCCTAGAGTCCAGCCATAGAGTCCAGCCATTATATGTGAGTAGGAACTATTGTTGTTTGCCTAGGCCCCATGTGGTTCTTTGCAAAATGGGCCCCACTGCTCCTTGCCTTTGTCATTTCACCATGCTCATGATTTAGCCCTTCTCTATCTCCATTTCTATCTCGTGGCTTCTCCCTCTGGCGATTGAATTGATTTCTCTTACCTCTACAAACCATTTACTGTCTCTGGGTCATAGCTTCTTGCCAGGTTCCTTCTGTCTACCCCACGGCTGCTTCTGACGGATGGTTTTGCTGCCTCATTCTGCTTCCACTTGCTGCCTTTTCTCAACTTCCTGGCCGCTCTGCTGTTTAAATTTCTCTCTTATATTCAAACTTCCAAGCCTCTCAAAGAGTGATGGGATTTTATCTGTAATCGCTATTCACAGGGAATCCTGCACGAGGTCTACTGTCTATGGCCATTTTGTTCAGAATGAGTAAAGATGCAGCACATGCACAAAGCCAATGAGTTCTACCTTAATCCAATATTTGAGACAAAACTTTCACAAAGCTGAGCATGCCATCTTTACTCTGGCCTGCTCTTTTTCCTGTGCTCCTTAATTCAGAGAATGTTCTCTTGCTCCACTGTAGAGATCTGATCTTGCAAACCATCTCTCTCTAGCTTTATCTTCTTCCATTCCCACTATGCTACAACCCTCTGAAGCTCCCCACACACAATTTAAAAAATAAAATTAGCTCTCCCAACCCTCTGGTCAATGCATTCTCCCTTCAACCACTCTCATACAAGGGAGCTTTGTTTGCACTTCTCTGTCTCTATCTGTATTTTGTTTCCTCTGTAAGAACCCAGCCTGGAGTGTTTTGACATCCTCATGTGCTAGACCATGGACCCTCTGGGGCAGGAATGATGTCTGTCATCTTTGGGGCTGGCCAGGATGAGGGTCAATAAATATCTAAAGACGAACTCAGCCATGACCCTCAAAATCCTTCTCTAGAACTTAGAACATACCATGTTTCGTTAGTACCCCATCCCTGGGTCTAGCAACCCACTTTGGGAAATGTGCAAAAATGACCCTGGTGGGGTCTCACTCTAGTTCCCTTGTGATGGAGGCTGCTTAGGTATGTGTGAGTCTACATGATTGGGTCCTGCTCCCCAAAGAGTGGCAAGAGTTGGAAGGACACAGTTGTGACCTAGGTGGTTCTTTGCCTGGTCTTCCATGGGCGTTGGGCTGCCTGGCTGCTCAAAATGCTGTTCTGTGGAATGAGCTCATTTCCTCTTGCTCTGTTGATTTTTCTCTCTTATGATGCTGCAGAACTCCTGGCCCAGGAGTGACTCAGCTGATTTGCCTTCTGACATGCCTGAAGTTGTATAGAAGGAGAGCAGAATGGTAGGGGGATAATTTGGAATCAAGCCTTTATGAGCCCATCCTCATGCCCATAAAGACATAGAGAGAGGTCCAGAAAGGTTAGGACCTGGGCCTGGATTTAGTCGGGGAGTGTGGAAAAGATAGTAGGAACTCTGCCAGCTCAGAAAGGCTTTAAGACACTGCAGTGTTCTCACTGGAGCCTAGACTTCAAGACTCTCCCACCAGGCAGCCAGAGTCCAGCTGGAGGTGGTACAAACCAAGAAGCATATTAGGTACTCGTAGCAAGTCCAAGGTAAGAATTGATATTCATAGAAAGTTGGGGAAGGAAAAAAAATTATCAAACAAATCAGAGTGATAAGACAATGTAAGAACCAGCCCTGTGAGTCTGGAGGATAGGATGGGTGGAAAGGAGTCAGTGAGGCTCGGAAACACCCTCATGCATTCATCACCCGTGCTGAGCACTAGAGATACACAGAGCATGGTCCCTGCCCTGCAGGAAATCCATGTTTGAATTTGGTAGGTACCCGAGACATATAAACAGAAACCACAATAAAATATGATCAAGGCAAGCAAGCACAGGGGAGTGCAGAGGGTGAGGAACTAACTACTATTACTAGTACTACTACTACTACTACTACTACTACAACTACTACTACTACTACTAGACATTTTCATCATTGTCCTCCTCCTCCTTCTCCTCTTCTTCTTCTTTCTTTTATTCTTTTCAGTATTAGGGATTGAATCCAGGGATGCTTTACCCTTGAGCTACATTTTTATTTTGAAACAGGGTCTTTAAGTCATCCAGACTGGCCTTAAACTTGAAATTCTCCTGCCTCCAGTTCTCAAGTTGCTGAGATTACAGGTGTGTACCACTAAGCCTGGTTTTAAGACTCTTTCTTGAAGGAGGTCTGGGGTCCTTCCTGGTAGAGACAAGTTGGTGGATGTAAAAGCATCTGCTAGCTAGGTGGAAAAGAAGCATGGGCATGGAGGTATGGTTAGTAAAACCTGTTTGGGGCACTCACTGCAGAAATTGTGATTTCTTTCACGATTTATAAATCATGGGGCCCTACCCTCAACCTCGTCTAATCTTCAGTGCACTGGAGGCATCTGAGCGTGTAATAGCCCAAGCCGCAGGTACTGATGGGAAACAGGAGAAAGGGCATACTCCTGGATATGATTTTGGTGATCCTCCTTAGCAGTACATATGGACTGTCACCTCACTGCCCTAGTGTCTGGCCCAATCAAAACAACAACTCTTCCTCTTAAAGAGGGGAGATGGTTGATAACCTGCTTTTATTTAATATGAGTTCTTTTCTTATTTTAAATATAACAGGTTGACTTGGCCTGACCTCAGGAGAAGGAAGCTGAAGCAAGAAATAAAGGGAAATTGTAACTCAGTGGGTACTCAGGCTTCCAGGACTCAACCCCAAATACACAGGGTGCTGGAACACGGACGGAATGATGACTTTTAGCCCACCTATTGCTCCAGATGTAACCCTGACCAGTTGGTGTTGGTTCAGAAATGAGCTAGGACTAACCCTGAAGCTGGGTCCCCAGATGTTGTAGTAGAGTAGAAAAAAAATTAGCACAAAGGATGAATTATAATATCATTTCCACTTAGTTTGATAGTTTCTAAGACATTTAATCATAAGTGCAGTGTGATTTCTTTCACAATTGATAAATCATGGGGCCCTACCCTCAACCTCATTTAATCCTAGTTGCCTCCTAAGGCCCCACCTCCAAATACTATTAACATATGAATACTATTAACAGATGAAGTTGAGAATGAAGTTTCCAATATATAAACTTTGTGAGGGGACACATTCAACTCATGGCAAATGCTTTCCTTTCGGGCTTGGCAAAGAGAATAAAATTTCACAAAACACAGTGTGGGAAAGTCTATCCGATCCCTTAAGAGATTTCTAGTTGGGGTTAGTTCAGACTGAACCTACTTTACATTTATATCTCCTAAGTCCTCTTCTTTTGAGGATGTGGCTTCCCATGTAGGTGCAAACCTGGTAAGAAAGTTTGCTAATCACATAGATTTGAATGGTCTGGTGTTTTCAGAAGTTTTATTTCTCATTTCAAATTAATTGATTATGACCTGGTTTATATATTGGCCTATGAATCAGGTTAGTGCAAATTTGCCCTGCAAATGGATTTTCTTCTCAGTGCTGACAAAAATCGGATTCTGAGCTGTAAATCTGGGAATCAGATTCTGGGTTGTGTTTATTCCTTCATATCTTCTTGAGAAATGTCAATCTTGAGTCTTCTCTTGGAGATAATCCCCAACATTTCCATGGCTATGCAAGTACCTTTCTCAATAATAAGCAGTGAAGGAGAAAATGCCAGAAACCCTGTGACTAATAATAGCTCATAATCTTAACTACCCCATTATTAAACACAGTCTACTTTTTTTTCTTTTGGTGCTAGGGAATAAATCCAGGGCTCTACCACTATATCCCTAACCCTTTTTTTTTTTTTTTTTTTTTTTTTAGGATGAGGTTTTGCTGTTGCCCATGCTGGCCTCAAACTCCTGGGCTCAAGTGATCTTTCTGCCTTACCGTCCCAAGTGACCAGAACTACAGTGTGTACCACTAAGTACTTCCAGGTGCCCGGCACTGTTTTCGGTGCGTTTGAATGAACTATTTAATAACCACAACTTTTCTATTATGTAAACTTATATTGGTTTCTAATTTACAGATGAAAAATAAAGGCCCAGATAGACAGAATAATTTGACCAAAGTCACAGTTAAGAATGTGGTACTGCAAGTGTTTGAACCTTGGACCATCTGCTTTCCTTTGTGGTCATGTTTGTAAGAGTTCCTTATGATTTTGTATTGAAATCTTCCTTTGGCTTAGGGATCTTTGCTATTACCTAATTATTCCTCTACCTATTCCAATAATAAGTTCATGACCACTTCCTCACTAACTTCTTCATTTAATTCTGAGTTTTTAAATTTCCTGCATTATATCATTTGCATGAACCCTGTGTGGGTAACACACAGGGACCTCCTGCCAAGCCTTCCTCCCCACAAATTGTGGGCTTCCATTCTTTGTTGGCATCACAGATGCTGTGTCAAATTTAAAATAGAAAGGGTTTCTTGTACAATGTCTTCCAGCCAGCTGAATTGACTATAGGCTGACACTTTCCATATAAGGTCTCAGGCCTCAAGGAAAATGTCTTTCCCATACCATTTTCCAAAGTATTGATTTAGCCTTTTATTTTCTGAATCTGAATATAAAACTTTATTTACCAGTTTCAGATGCTTTGTTAATGCTCGAATAACTAAAATTGACTAGTCTATAATTGAATTGAGTTATTTGGAGGATATAAGAACACTGCGCAATTTCATTTTATGTGTTGTTATTTTTATGAGGGCTAGAAAACATTCTGTAGACAGAAAAGTGGAAAATAGAAAGAGAGATTGCATTGTTCTATAGGAAAAGAGGCCGGGGTTGGGGGGCGGAGAGAAAAAGAGAGAGAAACCTGGGAAGAAAAAGCAAATGAATAATTGGTTATCTCTTACTTTCACTAGCCACTCTGCTAGATGTCATGTTATTTAATCCTCACAAACACCCTAGGACATAGATTTATTGCATCCATTCATGGATTATGAAAACAAAGTTCAGAAAGTTTAAGTAACTTGCTCAAGGGCACACAGCTAGTTCACACAGTCCTGAGATTTGAGCACCGTTCTCTAAGAGCCTTAGTGTACAGGGTACAAAAAGAAAGAATAGAACACAAAACACAAACTAAAATCTATTAGATAACTAAAAAGATCAAAATGAAACTAACTAGTCATGAGAAAGGAGAAGGATGATCAGAGGATCTGAAGATCTGCTAGCTGTTAATGAGTGGTGTATGGGTTTTGAACTTGCCAGCCTCAAGCAGGACCAGGCAGATGACTGGAGCTGGCACAGGTAGAGATCAGGGTGGGAGATGGCAAAAGAGGCTCATCATGTCAGAGAGGATGCTGGTTCAAGGACAAGTGAGTGAAGAGGATCTGAATGAAGGCAAAGAGATGCTTGACCTGGTCCAGAGGGAAGGGCTCTTGCCTACACTAGGGCAGACAGGACTCTAGGCAGAAGGAGTCCTGAGCTTACTGGTTGGCTCTTCCCTTTTGGAGGAGCACTCTCCTTGTTAAAGTCTTCCATCAGTAAAGACTGACTTGGTTGCCATGGTATCAACAATGCCCTAGCAGCCCATCAAGATTGTTTCTAGGGATGTGAGTGGGAGTGCCAGTCATTAAAAAAAAAAAAAAATACTTACTGGGCACTTTCTATGCATCAGGCATGACTTAAGTGGTAAGTGTAAGACAGTATACAAAAATCTTTTGATCTCAGTCCTTGTGGAGCTCATAGTCTACTAAGGAGAATGATGAGTCATGTAATCATACAATAAATATAAATTAGAATTTTAGTGCTCCGAAGGAAGATTATACAACATTGTAAGTACACATAAAGGAGGGTGTCCTTGAAAAAGCAAGCTTATGCTATAAAGCAGGGAAGTAGTGGAAGTTAACTATTTGAAGGAAGAGTATTATAGTTCAGATAGAGAAATCATTAAGTGCACAGGTCCCTTGTTTTAAATAGTTTATCCTGGAGGATGGAGGCTTAATCCAATGTGTAAAATCACATTTTACAGTCTATCTGGATGTTTCCTTTCTAAATTTAAAACTTCCCTAACTACTAAGTCCACATTTCACATCAAAGGTGATGCTTTTGTCTTTAAACATAAGATACTTTTCATTCACACATTAAAAACACATATGTAAGTATCCATCTATCCAATCTGATCTCCAACCAAGTATCTACTCATTTATCTATTCTTTAATTACCATTCACATATCAATTTCATTATCCATCATACAAGTCATCAATCCATGTGTCCATCTATCCTTCCACCAAACATTCATTTATCCATGTATGTATACAACACCCACAGTTTATCTCTCCATGTGTTTATATATTTATCCTTCCACCCACCTATTCATCCATTCATTTACCCATGTAATTAATCATTCATGTGTCCATGTATTCATTTATCCCTCCCTGCAACCAACAAATCATGTTTTCAAGTAACCATTCATTCATTCTTCTATCCATCCCTCTGCCCAAATATCCACACATCTATCCATGTATTTACCTATTTGTCATCCATTCCTTTAAGCATCCAAGTATTCATTTATCGTCTATCCATTTATCTACATCCATTGATGACTCCATTCTCTTCTATTGTTTCTGTGACAAATTACCACAAAAGTTGTGACTTACAGCAACACAGATTTATTACCTTACAATTCAGAAGTCTAAAATGGGTCAAGGGGCTAAAATATAAGTGTCGGCAAAGGTTCAGCTCTTCTCGAGGACTTAAAGGAGGATCTGTTTCCTAGACTTTTCCAACTTGCGCCCACCTATATTTCTGGTCTCTTAACCAACATTCTCCAACTTCAATGCCATAAAATATCTTCAAGTCTCCTTTTGATTCTGTACTTTCTGCCTCTCTCTTGCATTTATAAGGATCCTTATGATTATTTTGGGCCCACCTAGACAATCCAGGATAATCTCCCCATTTCAAGGTGAGCTGATTAACAACATTAATTCCCATCTGTCATGCAATCTAATGTAGTCACATGTTACAAGAATTAAAATGTGAACATCTCTAGGCCATTATCCTGCCTTCAACACCATCCTTCCCTTTATGCACTCATTCATCTCTCTATTCATCCATTAATTCATCTTTGTCTTCATCTACCAATCCATCAGTTTAGTCATCCATTTGCTTACATATATATGCATGAATGTATGTAGTTGTCTATCTACCCATCTAATGGTCCATTTATTAACCATTCATACAACTAATCATTTACTTGCCTACTTTTAATTCATAAGTCATATTAGCTATCCATCCTACTTTTCATTTTCATTTAAAAAATCCACTTATTTACCAATCATTCTTGCATCAACGTATCCATCTATTCAACTTCTTATCTAATCTTTTATGAGACACCCTTATCTACCTTTCCTCTAACCCTTTGATTAACCAGACTGTACTCTTCCAATATCCCAAGCATGTGAGTTCCCCACAATTTGGATCTACTTACCCAAAATAGTAATTGTACCTGAATCTTTGCTGTACGTTCTCAATAACCCCTTTTTGTGATCCTAGCACCAAATGACTTGGCGTTCTGGGCTCCTAACCCTGACTCAGTTTTGCTTGTAGTACTTTGTATTGGCTATATGCCCGTAGTCTTCATTCAACCTTACTTAGTGTAAGGAGCCTTGACAGTGTTGACTTTATGTTGATCCTGGTCCGCCCTTCTCCTGATCATGCCCTGCAGCACTGAGGACAATAAGAGCCCCTGCAATATGCATGTTTGTGTTGTAGGGAGGTACTGAATTAGAACTGTGTGTTTCAATGTTTTTTCTACTACCCTCCCCACTTGCCAGTTCCATGAAGGGGTTTGGAAAAAAATCCGTACTCTTCACAATTTATGTTTTTTTATTAATTTCAAAGAAGAAGGACAAATAGTAATGTAAAATATCTGTGGTGTGATGTCACAAAAACATTTTGCAACTACTTGGACAATGAAAAAAGCCATTTAAAGATCTCAAAAATTGTCACTATAAGGAAAAACTAAATAAACATGGCTCATTTTATTTTTAATAACAAGCTTTGTCGTCTCCCCTCCCATGATCCTCCCCCCTACAGGGGCTATTAATAAAGCATATACTACTGAATCAAAAGCATAAACAATAGCAGTAACTATACAATCACCACTCGCAAACAACCATAATTCATAGTTGTCAGGATGGCTAATGGTCTTACCACAGGCTGAGATGTAAATAAGTTGGACTGAGGGCTGTGTGAAATTCCTAGCACTCAGCTAAATTGCCACCCCTGCTCTGTCATTCAGGAGAAAATATCAGAATGCAAATGAAAAGGGGTGACATTAATTATAAGAATAACTGTTCCCATTTATTTATTTTTGAGAAAAATAAATCACTCAGACTGTGATACTTTATATATGATTAGTAACAAATTACTGGCCATATACCTTATGAGTGACCATATCAGGGAATGACCACTGAATACTGTAGCTAAATAACTACTAGATTCCTGTATAGTTTCAAGGCCAAGAATTCATCACAGGCACAAGTTTACACAGGAGTGAAATTATTTGGACAAATTTGGGTAACCCAGCAACTCTTCCGCAAATACCATGTATTTGTCCAAAAAAGTAGAGAAGTGTTGAGACTTTCTCATGGAGCTCAAAACTGACCATGAGGGCATAGTCTATACTTTAAAAGTTTTTAAGAATGGATGAATGGGAAGTATGGCTGAATGGGAAATATCAGAATCTTGACGAAAGAATATTTCAGAAATGAATGAAGAGTGACAATTCCCTGGGACTGAGCAGCAATCTAGTCTGGGAAGATATCGTTCCTCAGTTAAGATTCCCAGGTCCCAAGTTAAAAGATTGTGAAGGCACTGACATTTCAACAATGTAAAATCTCACAAGTTTATAAACATGGGCTCCTGTTAGCACTAAAACATGTGCAAATTATACATTAAGAGTTTATACTTTGATGTTTCACACATAAATGCTATCAACAATAATTTTTAGGATTGGGCCAAGGTTCTTTCACAATGCTACAACTCATTTGATCCTTACAACAACATTGAGAAATTGTCTAGGCAAAGTTTATACCCATTTTACAGATGGAATGGTTATAGCTCATCCAAAGATGGTAAATAGGATTCACACTAGTAGATGGTTAATGTTTGCCTAGTGCACTGAACACAAATGAGGATTCTGGCACTAAATCCAGGATTATCAAGAAAGAATGTGGTGAATTAGCTATGGATGAACTTCTCCATGAATGTGGGAGGGATAACTATAAATGATTGTGCCACACATACTATGTCACTCTTTTCTACATTTTCCTTCACTCAACCAACATTCACTAAATAAGGTACTTTGTGGGCACTGAAAAGGCCAAAGAAGAAAAAAAAAAAAAAAAGCAGTTGTTCCTCTTTGGGAGCTTACAATTCATTTGTCTCCATCATCCCATCCTATCCCTGATAAAAGAGCTTGCTCTCTTCATAAAAATTCATTTCTTCTTTTTCCTGGGTATACAGGTAGATTATATTATTCAACTTCCTTTGTGGTTGAATGTGACAGTGTTATTGAGTTCTAGCCAATTGCATGTGAGTAGAGGTGAATGTGTGTCATTTCTAGGCTAATGTTTTTAGGAAGAGAATGTGCCCTCATCACAATTTCTCTTCCTGCTTATTGGATGTAGATGATGATAAAATCCCTATGGAATGAGGTATTTGTTGGTGAGAAGGAAGTTGGACCCCTGAATCATCAGGTAGAAGATTATGATTTGTTAGTCAAAAACACTTTTCTTTTTTTTTTTTTTTTTAAGATATCTTTATTTTGTCTATTCATTTTTATGTGGGGCTAAGGATTGAACCCAGTGTCTCACATGTGCGAGGTAAGTGCTCTGCCACTGAGCCACAACCCCAGCCCAGAAACACTTTTCTTAAAATGCCATGTGAGCAAGAAATAAACTTTTTTTGTTGTTGGATCCATTATTCATTTGTGAATATATTCATTATAGCAGCTAGTGAATGTTATTCTACCTAATCTTGTTCTAAGTTGACCTGGCTTCTTTAACACTCTTTTCAACATCTTTTACCCACCATGGTGGAAATTTAATGTACATTTTCAAGGTAGGTTGGTTGATACTCTATAACCTAGTCTAGGAATCTGTCTTTAATAGGGAGACCAAAGACATGAAGACCCCTGCTTTATTACATGTCTATGAGGGAGTGACAGTCATGATTCTTTGTGGGCTAAAATTATATCATTTATTGTTGCTATGAAACTCCAAAATTGGTACTGTAATAACTATGGAGTTGTCATGGGCTCTGTAATCACACTACCCAGGTTTAGCTTCAGCTGAGTCCCTTAATTCAAAAAAATTCTACGCTCAGATTGCTGGTCCAACTTCCAGACTTTCCAATCCAGAAGCTCAAGATTTCTACCAACTTCCCAGATGCTGTGGACCGTTCAGGAGCCACACTGGGAGAAACATCATCTTCTACTAAGACAGTGAAGTTATGCTGTGGATGTTTATCTTTTTATTTTAGTACAAGGCATCTGTATTAATCCAGTGTTATCCAGAGAAACAGAACTAAAAGGATACACATGAGTGTGTGTGTGTACACATGTGTGTGCATGCACAGCACATATACTCACACACACCCACACACATACACACACACATATTTATTATGGGAATTAGATCACCTGATAATGATGACCAAGAAGTTCCACTATCTGCTATCTGCAAGCTTGAGAAATAGGAAAGCCAGCAGTATGATTCAGACGTAGTCCAAAGGCCCAAGAAGCAAGAGAACTAACATCTTCTAGTTCAAGTCCGAAGGCCTGAGAACAGAGGGTGTGGGAGACCCAGAATCTGAAGGCCTGATACCGGGAGCAATCAATTTCTGAGAACAGGAGAATATGGATACTCCAGATCAAGAAGACAGACATAAAAATTATAATTCCTGCATCTTTTAGTTTTGGGGGGCCTTCAATGATTGGATGATGCCCACCAACAATGGCAAAAGCAATATTCTTTACTCAGTCTACCTATTAAAATTACAATTTCTTCTGAAACACCCTCACAGACACCTAGAAATAAAGGTTTTATGTGTACTGTCCGGGCATCCCTGAGCCCAGTCAAGTAGACACATAAGATTAATCATCACAACATTTAGGTTTTGCAAACACGTTTGTTTTTATGCATTTTTTTGTTTTCTTTTTGCTTTGCTTTCTGTAAAATCTCAGCCTTGTTTTTCTTTATGATAATAGGAGCAGGAGCCCAGGGAACCTAGAATGTTAGACCAATGTTATGGGTGTGGCAGCTACTGGGTCTGTGCCTGATGGACAGTGATGGTGGCACCTCTAGATTCTGCTGCCTTCCTCCAGTGATGTGCCTCAATTTTATCATCTATAAAGTGAGGGTAATAATAGTTTCCTTTGTAAAAATTGAATATGTTAATACATGTAAAATACTCAGAATGGTGCCTAGTATGTATTAAGTGCTCAATAAACATTATCCATTATGAATTGTCAATCAAAGCGACAGTCCCTGTTTATTATCATGGGAGCATCCTTCCCTCCAACTTCATTCTCTGCTAGGATTTATTTCAGATAGAAGTGAAAGAAGAGGTAAGAGTTAGACTTCCTAGAATTTGGGGCTTTATGAACAGTAATGAAAACATAAGAATCATTCACAATAAATGGAATTGAATGAAGAAATGCAGCTTTCTGCCATTGATCTTGTTCAAATTGCTGATGATCAATCTAGATTTTCTGTTGCTAACATGTTATGAAACATGTAGTCAACAAATGTTTGCTGAATGGGACTGAAACAAGCTGTAGAACAACTAGCTATATATATACACCATATTTTGAAAAATACTCAAAATGTAAGTTAAGCTTATATAATAACCATGTATAATTTACAGTAAGCTAATGGTGAATGTCACTCATACCATCCAACACTGAAAGTATTAGTTATCTATCACTGCGTAAAAAAATGGTCCCCAAAGCTTACAACAACAATAAACATTTATCTCACATAGTTTCTGTAGGCCAGAAATTTGAGAGTGGTTTAATTGGGTTGGCTAAGGAGTTTTTCATGATGTTACAATCAAGATGTTGGCTGGGGATGCAGTATTTTCTGAAGGCTTGGCTAGGCATGAAGGATCTACTCCAAAATGGCTCACTCACACATGTATTGTCAAGAAGCCTCAGATTCTTGCCACATGGACCTCTCCATGAGGTTGACTGATGTCCTCATGACATGGCTACTGACTTTTCTCATTACCAGTGATATAAAGGGGCAAGGCAGAAGTAATGTCATTTATGACCTAGTCTTGGAAGTCACACTTTGCCATTTCAGTAATATCCTACTGATACTCAAATCTGCTCCATTCAGTGGAGGATAAGAGCAAGATAAGGATTTGAATCCTACCAGATGAAGATCTTTGAGTGCCATCTTGGAGAATGGCTGCCTTGCATTACCTCAGCAAAAACACGAAAACTAACTGATTAATTTAAAAAACTGCAATGTTTTATTCCTAGAATGCAAAACAGTGTTGTTGTTTTTTTATTGTCAATTTACAGATGGCACTCTCTCTGGATTGGTGGGTAATGCTGATGGTAGAACTGCATGCTTAAGGAAAAGAATTCCACAGCAACTTGAGGCTTAGTAAAAATCCCCAGCTTAAGCAAGTTTTTATGACTAAAACTGTCTAACCATAGTTGGGAAAGCACACTGCTGAGCAAGGATGAAGGATTTATGGAGCTATTTCAGGGTAGAGTGACCAGTGTTTTTTTTTTTGTGTGTGTGTTTTTTTTTAATCCTGCCCAAGAACATTAAAAATGTGACTTTCCATAAATCATAGTTCCTGAAAGGGATCATAGTCATTTATATGTATAAACTCAGGTTCTAAAAAATTAAAATAGTAGTAGTGCTATACAAGGTCGAGAGTGAGAGCTCTGTAGCATTTTAAGAGTTAAATCAATCATATGAACATATAAAAGATAGAGTCCATATATCATCAGAAATCACTCTGCAAAACAAGATCTCCCAGGCCAAAAACCAGGCAGCGATAGACTTCAATTTGAATCAATGGAATTAACATGTTTCAAAAAGAACAAATCAGTATAGGGGAAACATGGGGAAATGGGGGCCAGAGGAAAGATGTAATAGTAATGTAGTAATAAATAATTTGTCAAGAAGTTACCATGTGCAGAGTACTGTGCATGAATCATTTAGTTCACACCATAGCTCTATTATTGGAATCATGAAGCTGAAAGGGACTATCTTAAGGTCATTCGTGGTAGAGTTAGAATTTCAACAAAATCAGTAGGGCTCCAAAGCCTGTGGATTAACTATTCTTCTCCAGTCTTGTCCAAGGAAATGGCACCTTTGGCAGGAGGACCTCTGTTGCAGATTTGCCCCTGTAGTGAAGATATAGGCATTGGACTGCTACAGCTCCCCAGCGCATATTGACCATTAGCATCCTTCTCTTGGTTCCAGGTTCCAGAAGCCACCTTCCAATCCCATGATCCTCTTCCTTCAGAGAGAAAACAAGATCAGTATTTGACAAGACAGGCGGGGCTGTTTGGCAGGTACAATTCTCAAGGGAACTGAAAAAAAAATACACACACACACACATATTTTTTTTTAAAAAAAGTGTCAAATCATGAAATATTTCAAACATCCAGAAAAAATAAGAAGTTACACCGTGTCTGCTTCAGAACTTTCTATAACCTCTAGAAAGGGTTAACGAACAGAGACTTTATGTAAGGACAAACAGGACTAAACCAGAACACCCATAAAATGCCTCAGAGTTGTTTACAAGGGTAGCAATTTTGGAAATAAGTATGTTCTAGTTTTGTTCAGATTTTTTTTTTTCTGATGTGACTGAAAGACCTGACCAGAACAATTGTAGAAGAGGAAAATTTTATATGGAGGCTCACAGTTTCAGAGATCTCAGTCCATAGAAGGCCAGCTCCATTCCTCGGGGCTGGATGTGAGGCAGAACACCATGGCAGAAGAATGTGGAGGAGGAAAGTGGGTCACATGATGATCAGAAAGCAGAGAGAGATTCCATTTGCCAGATACAAAATATATACCCCAAAGGCACACCCCCAATGCCCACCTCCTCGAACCACATTCTACCTGTCTCTGGATACCACTCAGTTAATCCCACCAGGGAATTAATTCACTGATTGGGTAAAGGCTTTCATAACCCAATTATTTCTCCTCTAAACTTTCTTGCATTATCTCACACATGAGTTTTTTGGGTACACTTCATATCTTATAAGATATTACTTTGAAGGACAGACCTCAATGGGGTGACTAAGTTCTGACATACTTCAGATCTTAGCTTAAGGGCAGTTTTACTGACTTTACTGACCAAAGCAGATCTTTCTAGCATAATATCATAGCACCATACACCACTCCTTTAAGGTATCTACCACTGTTGTGATATTACATTTGTTTGCATAAAGTTTTGGATTAATGCCTGTCTTCTCTATCAACTGCAAGCTCCACAAGGGCTGAATAAACTTGTGCCAAATTTTATTCAGCAGTGTATCCCCAGTACCTAGTACAGTGTTTGTCAGTGAGTGCTTTCAATGAGTACATTCAATTTTTTTCCCACTTTTTTTCACGGTGCATTATAGTTGGAGTACATTCAATTTTAAACATCAATCTCCTTAGGTAGCTATATCTAAAAGAAATAAAAACATACGTCCACACAAAACTTGTATGTGACGGTTCATAGCAGTATTATTTATAATAACCCCAAAGTGGAAACATCCAAATGTCTCTTATTTAAGTGAGTGGATAAACAAAAGGAGGCATATCCCTATAGAGGAATATTCTTCAGCAATAAAAAAGAATGAATTAAACAAAATTCTAAAACACAAATGAATCACAAAAATATTGTTGTGTGAAACAAGCCAGTCACAAAAGACTACATATTGCACTCTTCCATCTATATGGAATTTTTAGAAAAGGTAAAACCATAGAGAAGAAAGGAGATTGATGATTGCCTGGACATGGAGGTTGGAGTGAGGATTAATGGCAAATGAGAAGTAGGTAATTTTGGAAGGTTTTGGAAATGTTCTAAAAATTGGATTGTGGTATGGTTGCCCGACTACATTAATTCACTAAATATCATCAAACTGTACATTTTCAGGAGGTAAGTTATTTCATACATGAATTTTATACAATAATACAGTTTAAAAATGTTTTAAAAAATTAACCTCATTACTTAGTCATTCTTTCCCAACTTATGCTCTGTGGAACATTATCTCTGTGGGACAATGTGCTAGAGAATGTTAGTCGAGTTTATCAATTCTTTAGTGATAGACCCAATTTTTAACTTGGCATATAGAAAAGTAAAATAAAATGACACATTTTTCAGCCTCCTTTGTAGCTTGGGGTGGCCATGTGACTAAGTTCTAGCCAATGAGATATAAGGAAAAGTAATGGGCCTGGCGTTGGGGCTCACTGGTGGAACGCTTACCTCATACTAGGTTCGATATTCAGCACCACATAAAAATAAATAAAATAAAGGTATTGTGTCCATCTACAACTAAAAAAACATATTTTTAAAAAAGTGATGTGCAGTATTTCCAGGAAGTCTATCTAAGGGACTCAGGCCCATTGTTTCCACCTTGCCTTCCCTTTTTCCTTCCAAGATCTGGACAGGAGATCCAGGAGCCATCTTGGACCACGAGTGACCTTGAGAGTGAAAGCTAATGATGGTAAGCAAAACTATTGAGGACTAAATTAGTAAGTTACCAAAGAGCTTTCTAAAGAGCACTCTTGGACTGCCTGCTTTTTATTTTTTTATGCAAACAAAAATAAATTTCAATATTGTTATTCTTTTGGGTTTTTTTTTCTATTATAGAGAACCAAATTTAATCTTAAACAATGTCAATTTTTTAAACACCCTTTTTTTTCTTTTAAAGAGAGAGAGAGAGACAATTTTTAATATTTATTTTTTAGTATTTGGCGAACACAACATCTTCGTTTGTATGTCGTGCTGAGGATCGAACCGGGGCCGCACGCATGCCAGGCGAGCACGCTACCGCTTGAGCCACATTCCCAGCCCTAAACTCTCTTTTTAATCTATTTTTTTTAGTTTTAATTTGTTATATGTGGCAGCAGAATGCATTACAATTCATACTACATATATAGAGCACATTTTTCATGTCTCTGGTTGTACACAAAGTAGAGTCACATCATTAATGTCTTCATACATGTAACTTAGGGTAATGATGTCCATCTCATTCCATCATCTTTCCTACCCCTGTGCCCTCTCCCTCACCCTCTCTCCCATTTGCCCTATCTAAAGTTCAAAATCCTTTCATGCCCCCCGCCATCAACCCCATTATGAATCAGCCTCCTTATATCAGAGAAAACATTTGGCATTTGGTCTTTTGGAATTGGCTAATTTCACTTACCATCTTATTCTCCAACTCCATCCATTTACCTGCAAATGCCATGATTTTATTCTCTGCTAATGCTGAGTAATATTCCATTGTGCATATATACCACATTTTCTTTATCCATTCATCTACTGAAGGGCATCTATGTTGATTCCACAGTTTAGCTATTGTGAATTGTGCTGCTATAAACATTGATATGGCTATGTCCCTGGAGTATGCTGTTTTTACTTCCTTTGGGTGTAGACCGAGAAAAGGGATAGCTGGGTCAAGTGGCGATTCCATTCCCAGTTTTCCAAGGATTCTCCATACTGCTTTCTATATTGGCTGCACCAATTTACAGTCCTATCAGCAATGTATGAGTGTGCCTTTCTCCCCACATCCTTGCCAACATTTATTGTTGTTTGTATTCTTAATAACTGCTATTCTGACTGGAGTGAGATGAAATCTTAGAGTAGTTTTGATTTGCATTTCTCTAATTGCTAGAGATGTTAAACACTTTTTCATATATTTGTTGATTGTATATTCTCTTATGAGAAGTGTCCCTTCAGTCCCTTGGCCCATTTATTTATTGGGTTATTTGATTTTTTGGTGTTAAGATTTTTTTGAGTTCTTTATATATCCTAGAGAGTAGTGCTCTATCTGATGTGCATGTGGTAAAAATTTGCTCCCATTCTGTAGGCTCTCTATTCACCTCACTGATTGTTTCTTTTGCTGAGAAGAAGCTTTTCAGTTTGAATCTATCCCAATTATTGATTCATGATTTTAATTCTTGCACTATAGGAGTCTTACTAAGGAAATCGGACCTAATCTGATATGATGAAGATTTGTGCCAACTTTTTCTTCTAATAGGTGCAGTGTTTCTGGTTTAATTCCTAGGTCCTTGATCCACTTTGAGTTGAGTTTTGTGCATGGTGAAAGATAAGGGTTTAATTTCATTTTGTTGCATATGGATTTCCAATTTTCCCAGCACTATTTGATGAAGAGGCTATCTTTTCTCCAATGTATGTTTTTGGTACCTTTGTGAAATATAAGATATTTGTAATTATGTGTGTTAGTCTCTGGGTCCTCTATTGTATACCATTGGTCTACCACTCTGTTTTGGTGCCAATACCATACTGTTTCTATTACTATTTTTCTATAGTGTAGTTTAAGGTGTGGTATAGTGATGCCACTTACTTCACTCTTCTTGCTAAGGATTGCTTTAGCTATTCTGGGTCTCTTATTTTTCCAGATGAATTTCATGACTGCTTTTTTCTATTTCTATGAGAAATTTTATTGGGATTTTGATTGGAATTGCATTAAGTCTCTGTAGTGCTTTTGGTAGTATATGGTCGTTTTGACAATATTAATTCCGCCTACCCAAGAACAAGGTAGATCTTTCCATCTTCTAAGGTCTTCTATAATTTCTCTCTTTAGCTTTCTGTAGTTTTCATTATAGAGGTCTTTCACCTCTTTTGTTAAGTTGATTCCCAAGTATTTTTTTTTAGACTGACAATATCAATTTTAATAGTTAAATGAAAAGAGGGTTCTATAGTCAAATCATTTTGAGTACTATTACATTTAAATTTAATAGATTTCATTAATTCAGGACTATAGTTTTCAACATGCTAATAAATTATGTCCAAAAAACCTCCAAAAGGGGCTATAGAATGCATAACTCCTCCAAGCAAGCTTGATCCCAAAATATCTTTTTAGTGGGAACATTTCATGGATGAATGACTGGGGAAAAATGGAAATATTGCTTTAAAAAAAGTCTCTATTTTTGGCTCTTCCTTTTTCTATTTTGTTTTTAAAGAGTTGGGGTTGTCCAGACTGGCCCTAAACACCTGGGACTCAAGAGATTTTCCTGTCTCAGCTTCCCTAGTAACTAGAACTACAGCCACTTGCCACCATGATTGGCCAATTCTTCCTTTCTAATCCATCCTTTTCCTGAGAAGTTAGAAAGATTGTTCTTAAACATAAATTTGATGATCACATCCTTGTTTACAATTCTTGAATGAATTCTATAGGATAAATTTTAAACTTCTTCATGTAACATAGAAGACCTTTTATGATCTGGCCTTTGCCAACTCTCTAACTCCACTTAAACCATTGCCTTCTCACATCATGAGCTTTTGGCAATGCTGAGAACCAATTACATTCTTTCTAGTCTCTCTACCTCTGTACGCGCTACATCTACTTTACGGAACACATTCTACCTGACACCTTGCCTGGCATTCCACCTCTGATCCTTTAAGACTAGGTTTAGTTGTCAGCTAATTCACACATTCACACTTTGAGTAATGCCTACTAAGTGCCAGGCATTACATTAGAGCTTGAATAATAAACATAACCCCTGCCTTGGAGGCACAGGGAATCAAATGACATGTACTGTATTAGTCAGGATATGCTAATGACTGCAACAAACCACCTTCACATTTCAGTGACTTGACACTATGACAGTTTATTTGCTGGTTGCAGCATGGTTGAATGTAGGCAAGCACAGGGGTTCTACTCTTTGCAGTCAGACACGGACCCAGGTTCATGCTATTGCATTTCCTGGACTTCCACTGGGTAATTTTGCATCTGGTCAGCAGATTAGGAAAGCAGGAAAGCTTGGAGGATCACATGGGGGTTTTAGGGGATGCCCAGAAATAGGATCTGTCTATCCCTTCTGCCCAGATTCCATTATCCAGGGCTCAGTCACATGGGTCTCCCTGATTACTGAGACTTATAATTTTGCCTTGGATCTTAGGAGGAAAATGAAAAGGGCTGGTGAAAATAACCTTTTTTTTCCTGTCACAGGTACATAAATAAGAACAATGAAGACGCTTGTAGTCTAAAGGAAGAAAGAGACAAGTGAAGCAAGGAAGAAAGAGAACATGGTCAGGTACGGTTCATCTTGTGTTTGTGGAGTTACTACCAGCAAGTTTTAGAACTTGTGGAAGCCCTTATGTGGTTCTCCTTCAGAGTATCTGAGGATTTTTCTTCTGGGGCTCTTTGGAAATGGAAACATGCTATTTGGTACATCTCTGGCATCCTCCCTGTAGCCGACCTTCAGAGCTTCATAGTGTCAACCGTCTCTTGTTCCAGCAGCTGCTATGGCATCCAGCTGTGCTCCATCTGACTTCACACAGCTGCACCCTGATAGGACTTTGCCTCATGGCCTTGTGTGCCTCTTGCTAGGGTCTCCTGTTGACACTGAGTTTGGGGAACCATAGAAGCCCACTTGGCATCTAGGCATGAACAATTGGTATGAATCTTTATCCAATGAGAGATGAGCTGGTGGATAGATTTCCTTCTACCTCCCAAAGGCAATTCTGAGACTCATTTTATATGGCTTCTCAGAGGATAATCACTAGAGCAGAAGCAATCAGCCACACTTAGTGGAGGCCAGATTAGTAACCATTCACTATTGGCTTTTCTTCCCTACCTTACCCTTAAAAAAAAAATATATATATACACACACACACACACACACACACACACACACACACACACACACATATATGTATATATTCAGTTGTAGATGGACAGAATACCTTTATTTTGTTTATTTATTTTTATGTGGTGCTGAGGATGGAACCCAGTGCCCCACATGTGCAAGGCAAGCACTCTTCAGCTGAGCCCCAGCCCCAGCCCCCTTCTTTGTACTGCTTCACTTCTGCAGTACAAAATTGGCTCTTCTTCTGGACAACCAGCAAAAAGCAAATTAGTTGTCTCTATTTCCCCTCCAGGGCCTCTCCTTAGGTACCTAGCTACTGCTGAAGTGCTTGAAAAGTCAGATTCTACTAACCTCCGAGTTCTGCAGACTTGCACTTTTAAAGTCAATCTTGCATTCTCTTCCAAATGTGGTGTCAGACCTTTCTTGGCTTGTGCCTGTCCTACTAAGTTCTGAATCCATTTGTACTCCTATTGATTCCTTGTTTGGTGACCTAACTTCGTGTGTCTGTATGTTTAACTTCTCCTGTGCTGCTAACTTTTCTTGATGTTTAGGAACAGCAATTACTGACAAGTTGATCTCCCTCCTGCTCCTGTGCCTCCCCAGACTGTCTTGCCTCTGTGCCTTGGTACACCCAAGCTGTTCCCTGTCTGCAGTTCCATCTTTTCGACCTCACTGATTAATGCTGCTTCCAGTACTTTCCAGAAAGTACACAGACCTGAGCCCCTAGAGCACTGTTGAGAGTTCTAGAACCCTTGATCCTGGAGTTTGGGTTGAGGAGCCTGTAACTACCAGTAGCCTTGTCCTCCTGCAGGTTCTACTTTAGCTGTAGCAGCAACTGGTTTAGGAGGTCAAATAAGTAGTCCCTGTGAAGCTGCAGCAGGGAGGAGAAAGCAGCTCTGAGTGAACTCACTCACCAGCTTGGCAGGATTGGAGATCCTCAAGATCTATGTGTACACCTTGCTCTCAATTAGACTATAAGTTCTTTGAGAATAGAAGTATTGCCTGCCTTGTTTAATACTGTATCCTTGTGTCTAAAACAATATCTAGAATGTAGCTGATGCTTAATAAATATTTGTTAAGGAAGGGAAAAAGGGGAGGAAGGAATGGCCATGATACATCTTGAATCAAATGAAAAAAAAAGATGTCCGGTGAGATAGATGAGTGGCAAGGAGCTGCTACCTGTGTATTTTCATACTGGATAAATATCTAGTGACTGTCAAGAAAAGAAGAAGTGTTACTCAGAAGAAAGTTAGGACCACAGGCTGAAAGTCATAGGAAAACTGGGATTTCAAAGAAGCTAAAAATATTTGCTCTGGGGGTGCAGCAAGGCTCTAGATCATTATAGTTATCCTTGACACACTCAAACCATGTTCATCTTAAATGTATCTGACAAACTGCTCTTGGAATCATCACACTCAGATCGTTACTGCTTTAATTAAGGCAAAATGAGCCTCTAAAGTCAGAATCCAACCAGTTTTTCAGTGGGTTCTGAAGAAACACTCAAGATGAGGCAGGCAGGGGGGTGAAGAGGACAGGAAAGCATCTGCTAGGTCCAGGATGGGAGAAGGAAGTAATGAGATGCCACACCGTGTATTCAGTCAGGCAGGGCAGGCTCCCCATCTCTCCTTGACTAATTGCTTCACTCCATCTCTGGTCTAATTTCCTTCCTTCCTCCATGTATTCTCTTTATGACATTTATCTCTACCTAACCTTTGTATTTATTTATTGTCTTTCTTTCCCCTATTCCGTGAGAGCAAGGGTTTTGTCCTATTGACCGCTGTATCTCCGTAGATCAATGTAGTGGGCACTTAAAAATTAGCTGCTAACGAACGAAATAAGAAATATAACAATTACTTGAATCTCAGCCATATGCTAGGCCTGTCTTTGAGGATGCTGTAAGGATGATAGCAGAGATAGGCCCAAAAATAAATGCACCATGGCTCAACACCAGATTTTACGGAGGTACAGCCAAGGCGCTGTAGGTTCCCCGGAGCTGGGAAACTCCCGGAGTGTGCAGGACCCCGGGAAGAAGCACGTCGTGTGACAGGGAGCCAGGCGGAACGACAGGAGATGCGGGCTGGAGACGATCCACCGGGCTCCACACTTCGCTTGGCCTCTCAGCATCTTTTTCCCTGACCCGCGGGATCCTAGCCTCTCCCAGCTTCTCTCTGCGCTACCTGGGCCTCCGCGGAACACCTCTGTCGCGGGTTCCCAGCCACATCCTCTCCCATCCCCGAATAAGCCAGACCCGGGTCTTCCAGATTGCTCGCCCGCTACCTGAGAGACCTCCACCTGCGGGCTCAACTCCCGCCCCCGCTAGCGCCCGCGTCCGCTACAGCGCGTGCCTCAGGTCCCCGCCCCCTGCCTGCGGTCTGCGGCGTGCAAGACCCCGCCCCGCCCCCTCCGCCCGCGGGACCCCGGCCCCGCCCCGCCCCTGTGGCCCCGCCGCTCCGTCCCGGGGGGCGGGGCCGCGCGCAGCGGCGTCTCCGAGGCTGGGGGCTCGAGGCGGGGGGCGGAGCGGCCCCAGCGTGGGCCAATCAGAGCCGCGATCACATCCATGCAAATACGAGCACAATGGAGCGAGCCCATCACTCGCCTCTGCAAGCAAGCTTGAAATGGGCTTCTGTCTGAGCGGCAGCCCAAGTGACCAATAAATTTGTGTTTTGGGCTGGCGAAGCCCAATGGCGCGGCAGAGAAGGCGGGCCCACGCTGGGTTAGGGTGTCCTTGCAGGGTGTCTGAGCTAAACTTCACCAAATAATAGCTGTTTGTATTTTGGCTGCTGCAGGAGCCATTTTAGGTAAGTTCTTCTCTTAACTTTTTATTTTCTTCTCCGGCCTCGGCGGACTGGCTCTGTCCGCGGGTCCCCGGCCCCGCCCCGCTGGCTGGGCTGGGGTGCCCCTATG